CCGTTGCTATTATACGCGTTTTATGACGTTGAGCTCAGCGTTCTTGTCCGAAAATTCGCACACTTTATAGAATTCGAAAAGAAGCATTCTGATTAGATTTCCACCGCGGTGGACATTTAATAGCCCCTGAATTGCCAAGTCAACTTTATAGACATAAAAACGGGGCGGTCATAAATCCACTGGACTCCTATTGTCCCATTGGTTTACAACTATGACGCTTACGACGAATAGTGAAAAAAGATAAATTTTAATTTTCATCCGTTATTACAATAGTACTGAACTACGTCCAAAGGTGTTCGCCGGAGGAGAAGGAACGGTAAACGCAAATAAGTTTAATCCGATCATCAGCCGCTCGTTTACCGCGTTTGATTATCATTTGAATAAGTGAAAAAAAAAATAATTGAAAAATTAAAAACGAATTAATGTGGTTTAAATAACGCGGGGGAAGTCTTAAGCCGAAAACAATGCGTAGGACAGTTCTGTCGGTTTAACATTAACATAATAACGATTTAGAAAATAAAGTCGGCGATGGGGTCAAGTTCTATATATATATATATATTGATAATAACATTTTTGGTCGTGCTACAATGTATTTGGCAGTAGGCTCTGCGGACCAATATTATTTAGTATTCTAAACCTAGAACCGTGGACAAGTACATTGTAATATTTTATACCGATTGCTCGTATTGCGATCACGGCTTTCCAAATAGAAGGTCATTTTAGAACAAATAAAAAATAGTCGCAGTTATTTATTACGTGCTCGGGACGCGACGTATATGAACTATTAAAAAAAAATTACAATTATAAAAGTAGATGTATCGTGTGACGGTGTCCGTTGAATTTTATTATTGTATTCAAGATCGCAGGGGTCAGTGTATTAAGATGGTAATGTATGGCATTATTATTTAACGACTTGTGTCAATTATGTGGTCATTTTAATGAGAAATATTCCTATATGGTAATTCTGTTGCTTTAAGTCCAAACCCGTGTGAAGCCAATCGATACCCATGGCGCCCAAGTTTTAAAAGTAAAATTATCATCCAGGCGAATTTGTAAGTGGGGCGCCTTAGTGTAAAAAGTTATATTAATTTTTAAAGTATTACTAGACCATCGGCGCCACTGATCTGCTTGATACAATTTAAATTTATATAAACATTAGCTGATAGTTCTTAGAATAAGCATTTTTTTTGTAAAGTACGGTTTCAGAAACACGACAACATTGCGCGGTTTTTATTTCAAGACAGATTTTCAAACGACATTTTTTAACTTCCGAATTAACAGTAAGCTTCAAAAGTATTTCTCGACATTCGTAGATGTTTGCTACAAAGCTTGAATCGTTCATTTGTTCACTTTTTATTTTATGTTATTTTGATATTTTATCGTTGTCATACGCACATAAAGAATTGCATAAAAAGTTTCTCTATAAATAAAGAGATTTGATTTTAGAGTTCGAAAACTTTTACTGTTGTTATTTAGATTAGCTCGATATTTGTTGTTTCAAAGAAAATCGCTAAGTAAAATTTGTCGATCGGCTTTGGGTGTTCACGAAGGGAACAAATTCCACATGTCGTGTTTGCCCAAGGCGAAAGGTGTATTATAGATTTTAATAAATAAAATTGAATTAAATTCACGGTTGGTACTTTTCAGTCAGGTTGTCGGCCGTTATTATTATAATTAGTTCGATATTTTCTACATTTTGTAACACTATATGAAATGATGCCGGGTAAATACTGCTCGTTATGTTATAGATAAAAACGTCGTTAAAATAATATTACCTTTAGGTTGTTATGTAGAACGTTTCAGAATTATTATGTTTCTGAAACGTAAGTTTAGTGAGTCTGCTGCATTAAAGCCGTTCCTTCGTCGCGCCTATTTAGTCTGAAAATGCGTTCCAAAAATAGGAATAAGAGGGATAAGGCTTGTGTAACAACGCGCGGACTTGGTATGCTTGCTGGCGTGTAAGTGCGTGTATATATATATATATATATATATCTATATATATATATATAAATGTAAAGCGCAGTAGATATTATTGCAGCACAGGACGTCGGGCAGTAAAAAGCCTCTGCAGTATGACGAGAGCTGTCTGCGCGTGGAGATGGTGGCTATGGGTACGTTTTTAATGCTCTCCAGGTCGTAAAAAAAAGGGCGCGCCTCGTCGATACTCGGAAAATCTACCTCCCTACCGTCGTGCTGCGCCCCCTCCTGACGACCGCGACTTCATCTCGAATGCATTTTCCACTGCACCGTCATGCGGCCGGGGGACTTACGTAATAAAATTTATATTGTCGAAGACGTCCGCGATTTTATCGCGCAGAATTTTAACCGGTCGGCCTATTGTACGTTTATATATATATATATATATATATACGTACATTATACATTACTAACCTATCGTAAAGAAGAGAGCCGTCGGTAAAGTGTCGGCGGAGAGGAAATGGAAAGTCGCTCTTTCCTCGCGTAAGTCTCTTCTTCTACGAACCCATGCCGAATCGTAAAATCCTTGATGCAGAACTTTTCCCGTTGCCAACGTCCCGGTGCTCGCTGAATTAGGGGGGAAGCAAACTTTTTGGGTTTGCCCTTGCCACACTGGGAATGGCGTTTTTGATAACCGTCTTACGGTTTCTTTTACATCGTATTACCCTCTTGCTTTTGTATGTCCGATGACGGTTTGTTATTAGTAGCCACAAGCAAATCACAAAAACCTACGGCACGTTCATATGAATGCGCTCATCCCAAACGACGGATCGTTTACTGTTTTCGAGGAGTAACTTCTGTGGGCTGTGTACGATCTTATTAAGTAAATATTGGCATTAAGTTTACTGTGTTCATAGTTAACTATCGCTGATTTTGTTGTTGTGCACGATCTGTACCAAATAATCCATTTTATTGGATTGTCATTAATCAATAGACGAAATTATCATATTATTAGTAGTATTCGTTTGTACTTACGCAGTTACCTCTTGTACAATGGGCAAATAAAAAATTCAGATTCAGTGTCTTTAAATGTATGTTCACATAGTATTTTTAATATATGAATACTCGCGAAAACTGACCATATTCGTTACTATATATACTAGGGTTTAATACTTTTTAATCTAATACAAATCACCAGTCAAAGGGTTGCGAGTGTGTTGTTGTGTCCCGCAAAATGTTCAATATAAATAGTTTTAATTTCTGATACGAGACATAGTCTATAATTGGCTTAGTAATTCGATGCATTGAAACTTAAAAACACATTTTTTGTTTTTTATATTGAACTATTTTCACGTTTAAAATATATAACTTTTGTATTTACAAAAAATCTTTAGTGGAAATTTCGTTTGTTCGTTGTTTTTCTTTATTCGAGTACTGCGGTGGTAATGATGGGAGGATTGTATAACAGTTACTTGTCCGAAGACGAAAAAAATTCCACACCAAAGATACAATTTTTTTTAACTGAATACATTTTTTTTTTGTGTTGCAAACAATTGCTTGCCTAGAGAGTGTAAACATAATTTCCAAATTACAATCCGCCTTCAGCAGTAAGGATGTGATGGGACGGTTATTTTTCAGCGGTATAGTATTTCTTATATTGTTACAATCCCACAGCACTTGACTTCTTTTAAAAACATTTAAAAACAATTATACTGATAATATATATATACAAAGACGGGAATGTTACGTGCGTATAAACTTGTATTGTAGCGTTATTTGATTGTAACAGCAAACTTAGTGTAATTTTGCAAAACAATGTAATAACTATTGATTTTTAAAAACAACCACGTAACGTTGACCATTTATGATTTTTGTAATAAAAATGTAATTTCATTGAAGAAAGAAATGTACAATTTCAAACTTGTCAGTAATAAGTCACAACTGAAAACGAGCGAAACACAAGTGGACACTGTCCAATTAATACCCGGATTATGAACATACAGACTCCCAATGTCATCCGATTATCATTGCCACACACTAAACAATAATGTACTACACCTGTCCTCGAGATTAAACACATAGTCGTGTGAATATATTGATGAAATCGGCAACACCCACACACACGTTATAGACATACGCCATTGTGACGTCCATTGTCTGATACGTTGCAATTACTCGGCTAAGGATGATAATAGTAGTTAAGCAGTTGTTTCGTTCGACTGAAAAATAAATGACTTTGGGGGAAATCATTCTGAAGTAACGTGCCATCAAACGGAAATTGCAAACGCCGTACCGAGTGATACCATTTGTTATGACTGCGACGAAACTGTGCGCGTGTACTAATTGCAAGGACCCGCGACAATAATATTTTAAGACTGTTGTTAATGCACTAGTAGCCATTTCAAGTGCAATTCTATACGGCTGCTGCCATTTAAAATAATACACCTCTTGACGATTTGACTAATAGCAAACTCGTACCGTAACTCAAGTATGCCGTACGCGACTTGCGAGTAATGATATTGAGCGTTACTAACAACCTACGCGAATCCACTTACACGATTCTAATAATAATTAATAATCGCTCGAGACTGAGTGCATATGAAATTTGGTTGAAATTTTCTTAATATTTCGGCAGAGACTTTTTTTTTTTTTAGTAGTTCCATAGGCGGTTTCTTTAAAAAAGTATCTTTTAGACAACAATTATTAGAAATTGCGCGACTCGGTAATAGTGCAGTTGATTAATAAATCATTCTTTTATGATTTCATTTGCTAAACAAGCCAACAAATGCGTTGAGTCCATTTTTTTTTTATTGGGGACACGACTAAACGATCGACTAGTCGCGTTATAAATATTTCCGGATAAATTTGATCTCTCCGGCCGTCATCGATCAATATTTCCTCCCTTTGCACGTTATTATGAGTTTTTCGACAAGGAAACGTGCAATCGACACGATCACTTTTCGAAGAGTGATTGCGTATCCGTTTTATGCGAAAATGCGCAATAAGCCGTAAATGTGCACGGTCTTATTAGAAAGAACGATTTTTGTATTAGTTGTTTTAATCTCGGATCATTGGTTTTTCAGACTCGAGACACGAAATGGCAATGAGCGACCACATTGAAGATATCGGATCCATTCTAAAAGAACTGATTAACCGCACTAAGGAGTTTCAAAACTTGGACGCATTCCGGCTGTTTGTTTTGCAGAGTAACACGTTCGATGTAGATAAAGCTACCAAATTAATCAAACGGGGTGAGTGTATAAAATTCACGTTTCCATATTCTATAACGATCGGCTTGTTTTGCGTTGGCGTTTTTACACGAGTATATGCTTGTGCGTGTATATATATACTATTTGAGACAATCCTATTCATTGCCACGCGTTTGCCGCACCCACTTGCTAAAAAAATATTATACTTATACATAAATATATTATACTTGTGACGGAATGATTGATACTACTGCGGTAGACGGCGTGTCACATTTGGCTAGAAAACAAAATCATCAGTAGTGTAAATACTGACGAATAGAACAGTTGGCAACTTGTACGCATAGCACCTATTTGTTTGTTATCAGAAAGTTTGTCGCCTTACAATGTAGTTATTACATAACAGCCGTTATAGGCAACATTTTTTTTTTTTTTGTCGAGCACGGCTAAACCGTCTACTTGTCACCCCTTTTTAAAAATATAGTCGAGCTTCACTGCTTGCTATAGAAATAATCGCTTTCGTTTCCAGTAGACGACGTAATAGTCAAAAGTGTTGTCGTAGAATTCAATTATTAACAACGGCAATACATGTTAGACATAAGTGTTATTGATGTCAGCTACAGGATAATAGTTTTCCCGTAGGACATTCGAATGTAACCAACTGCTGGCGTCACCAAACTGTGTGACCGACTTGAGTAATTATCTTTTAACTCTACAAATTTTGTGCGGTGGACATCCCGACGACGTTGCGATTCAGTCCAAGGCCGTGTTAAATATGAAAATATTTGTTGTTTCACAACGAGCTTTTTGTAAAACAACGTTACACGACAATTAAAAAGTTAAACCCTAAATCGCGGTTCGACACGCATATATTTTTGACACGTTATATTCCGTTCAGCGATCACGCTAATACTCTAACGGCCCTTGCCCTTCCTCGTACACATTTACCCAATCAAACTTTTACATAAATCCTTCTGTTAGATAACATCCAAGGTTTTTGTGTTTAATGCACGTGACATCAATTGACAAACGATTGATAACATCTGAAAGGACCCGTTGGATAGGCGTTAAAAAGTTATATACAGTAAAGGTCTGTAACAGTTAGACAACAACCTAAACATTTTGTGTGTGTTCGTGTATATGATTTGCTATATAACACACTGGTCGTGAGAAAACTCAACGCTTTGTTATAAATTTGTAAAACTCTCTTTGCGGTTGCCATACATACAAACGCAGTGAGAGATATAGATTTTAATAAGTTAAGATAGATACAGATTATTTGTTGGATATTGTTTTAACGCGAGTGAGTTTGTCTTCGCTTCAAAGTCAACTTGTGATCATTTCTAAGTATTAAAGAACAAAGTATAAAATTTAATCTGTTTATCTAATACTGTTTTTGACGTGCAATGTTTGTATTAAGTTATTATATATTTATTATGCGCCCGATCCCGTCCTGTAGTGTATTATACTGTGCGGCAGTAGACGCTGCCTCTGTGATATGTTTTTGCGCCATTTGAAAAAATCAAGTAACGCATTTTCTGTTATTTGTGTAAAAAAGCTAGTCATTAATGTAATGCGCGCTTAATAGTGAAAAAAAAAAATGGTATAATAATGCCCCTAATACTATCGCGTGTTAATAAAGTAAAATAAAATATTCTAATTATTTGTTTGTTTTTAGGTGTAATCATAAACAGTTGAAAATTACAACTAAATTTATAACTTAATTTTCAAAAAAAAATAAATAAATCTTAAATTAATCTTTCGATTTCATAAAATAATTAACAACTATTTTAAACGATAATTTAACTTTATAAAGTAGTAAATTAATTTGTGTTTCACTTAAAAATAATAATTTAATTTCATTACAAAGTTAGTAAATTAATGTTCAGAATTATTTTAAACAATTAATTTAAATTTGACAACTCAAATTAAATTCAATAGAAAACAATAATAAATTTAATGAATTTTTAAATCAAATTTCTTTCTCAACTAAATACATAAATAAAAGTTTTTATCATTGTAATTGTATGAGCTCTTCAGGAGACACTTCGATGTGATTTATGTAAATGTCACAGCGAGGGATTGCATCGATCATGTCAATGCAAAAATGCATCTGAATGCAAATTTTTTGTGGACCTACACTTCGTCAGGAACCAACCGCCTGCTGCAGCGTACGCTGGTCACGTGACTTCACTCACGAAAAGTCCATTAAAAGTCTTTCTATTAAATGATTCGTGTTTAATGTTAAATGTGTGTATTAAACGTATACATTAAATTAATGTTTCTTTTTATTTAATTTTGTTTATGAAATGTTAATTCGAATAAGTTTAATACTTTGCAAACAAAAAATGAATTATTGCGTTTGACGTTTCAAAATGTGGAATTAACTTACTTCGTGTTTTCATTAACTTTTACTCGACAAATTTCAATTGAATCTCAATAATATTTCTTCTTTATTTTTATGTTGTTGTTATTATTTTAATATTTCATTTTTTTTTTTTTTTGTTCGGACGAGGTAAGTATATATTTTTTACACATTGCATTTTCTATATATATATATATATATATATATAACTATTTTACAATTAATGTATTTTTTTTTATTGATCACAACTCGGAACATATTTATTTCAATAGCAAATGCCCAGTATATTTTTTCTCGTGTTCTGTATTTCATTTGATTGGGTTTAAAATAGAGGTCTAAAAATAAATTATGGGATTTTATTAAAATTTTTTCTTTTAATTTGTCATTGCTATTATTTAAATCGCAAAAATTAGTAGGATTATATACGTTGGAACAAACGAGTTCAAATTTTTATAGCTTTTCTCGGTTAAATAATTAAATATAAGAAGTTCTAATAATTTACTCGGTTTTAAAAATGAACCTACGCGTTATGAGTCTCTTAGGTTTCAAATGCCAACATTTGGGTTTGTTATTCGTATTATGAAATGAAGGGTTAAAACACAGTAGGAGGTGTTTATATGCTTAAAATTAATACTATTTAATAGAAAAAGCAAATCATGTCATCATTGTAGCGTATTAATTATGAAATATTATCTTGTAATAACTTATTTCTAGTTATAATGTAATTTTTGTGATTCGTGGTATATTAAATATTTTACAAGGTTGAATATATTTACCTTTTAAGTAGAGTTTGTCTCCTTATTAAGTAATTATCGACAATTTTTTTTTTAACTTGAAGAAGTACTTTTTTTTGTCACGAAATTTATATTAAAACATGAAATAGTTAATTAAAATTAGAAGATTTCAGATGTTAAACAACAATCAAGTTAAAATGAATCGCTCAATATTTCGCAAGTAAATTTTCTTCGAAAAGCTCAAGAACTCGTGTCTACGTTTACCAAACACAAAACTTTGAATAACCACTTCAAAACTTACACGTAGAAGTTTGTTTTTTACTCTAATCGACTAAAGCTATAAACATATGACAACTGTGAGTTGTATTAGAACATTATGTCCTAATTTTATTGAAAATTTCCTACTTAGATTTAACTAATATGATTTTTTTCTTTAATGAAAAATTAAGTATTCTTTTTATTTTATTTTTAATCAAATTTCTTTTTTTATACTAAATCATACTTAGAAAGTATGATTATATTTTATAGTATTAGTTTGATATATGTTTCTAAAACTTGTGTGTAATGTCTTTTTTTTTGTTGTTTAATTTAATAAAAATATTTTTTGTGTTTGTTTTTTCCATCCTGGCCTAATACCCGATATCATGTATATGAGTCGGAAGGTAAATTAAAATGTTTTGTAGAAGTCATGCCAAAAAATTCTACAAAGATACTATGTTTGAACTAAAAATAAACCAACCAACTAAGAACCAAGTATCACAGCAAGTAAACGTTAATCAATAATTGATACTTAAAATATAACAAAAATAATATGTGTATACTAAAGTACAATATTCTCATCTAAAACTTCAGGACATTTCTGTTGTTGACATATTATTGATATTAACTGTTTTAAAAGACAATAAGAAATACAATTTATGAAGGTTTATTTTTGAACTTAGATTTGAAAACGTTCCAATACACTATTAAAATAATACGTAAACTTGTCTCAAAATCTGACAAAACTTTTAAGTGTTATAATATCACTTTTTCTTTTATAAGTGTATCCTACGTACTATTATGAATGATATGCCTCAGTAAATTAAGTAGTTATAAGAACTTACTTAAAACTATTATTGAATACGTACGGTTTAAATAAATATTGTGGGAAACCTATTCAAAGGTAATACATTTTTATAAACTAATACATAATGTTAAGTTTATTTGATTTTTTTTAAAATTTAAATTGAATAATAAGCGTATAATATATAAATAAATTATATTATTTATTATCAAAGATTTTGCGAATCTAACGCGCTTGGGGTGCGCAATGACTTTTTGAAATTGAATACCAATTTTATAAAAAATTTAATTACTATAATAAGTATTTATTCCTATGTTATACTTATAAATCATAAAACTTGTAATCAGGATATAATTAAAGAAATAGAATATGATTTGCTTTTGGAATTATTCAATAATTCCTTTGAAAATTTAACAAAATTTAACAGTATCTACAGAATTGCATCGAAGCGTTTTTTATAATAGTGATTTTAATCACTGTCAAATATCATCTATACTTGTCCCAATTATGCTGTGACTGTGCAGGTTTTTTATATTATTGGTTATAATATTTGGAAAAAACTATATGAAGTGTGTTCAGAAAATAACGGGAATTTTTTAATTTCGCGTGTTTGGAGAGTCCGATTATCAAAATTTGTTTTTCATAATATATGTACCTGAAGTATGATAGAATTTTCAGCTAGATTCATATTTTACTTAGTCAGTTACAGTCGCTAAGGTTATACGTGTTTTTATGAGCTCGCCGATTTTTGTTAGTTAAAAAAAAAAACGAATCGGAGGATTTGTATCAAATTTTGCGTAAAAAATGAAATAAAATGTAAAAAGGTGTATGAAATGTAAATAGAGGCCTATGGTGAGTCTGCCATGAGTAAAACAAGGGTTTA